GTGCGTCGCCGCCACCACCGAGCCCGCCTCCTCCCAGCCCGCCGCCCCCCTCGGCGCCGCCTCCGTCTCCACCACCGCCGTCGCCGCCGCCGCCGTCGCCGCCGCCGCCGTCGCCGCCGCCGCCGAGCCCGCCACCGCCCAGGCCGCCGCCACCGTCGCCACCGCCGCCCTCGCCACCTCCTCCCTCGCCGCCGCCTCCTTCACCTCCGCCGCCGTCGCCGCCTCCGCCCTCCCCGCCGCCGCCATCGCCACCGCCGCCGTCGCCGCCTCCTCCAAGCCCGCCTCCGCCCTCTCCGCCGCCTCCGTCTCCGCCGCCCCCCTCGCCGCCGCCCCCCTCTCCGCCTCCGCCCTCGCCGCCGCCGCCCTCGCCTCCGCCACCGTCACCGCCACCGCCTTCGCCGCCGCCTCCGTCTCCGCCGCCTCCGTCTCCGCCGCCCCCCTCTCCGCCTCCACCGTCACCGCCGCCGCCCTCGCCTCCGCCACCCTCGCCGCCGCCGCCGAGCCCGCCTCCGCCCTCTCCGCCGCCACCGTCGCCACCGCCGCCCTCACCTCCTCCTCCCTCGCCGCCACCTCCTTCACCTCCGCCGCCGTCGAGGCCTCCGCCCTCCCCGCCGCCGCCATCGCCACCGCCGCCGTCGCCGCCTCCTCCTAGCCCGCCGCCGCCCTCGCCTCCGCCTCCTTCACCTCCGCCCCCCTCGCCGCCGCCCCCCTCTCCGCCTCCGCCCTCGCCGCCTCCGCCCTCGCCTCCGCCACCGTCACCGCCTCCACCTTCGCCGCCACCGCCCTCGCCGCCGCCGCCCAGCCCTCCTCCTCCCTCGCCGCCGCCGCCCTCTCCACCGCCACCGTCCCCGCCGCCGCCCTCTCCGCCGCCGCCGTTGCCTCCGCCGCCGTCGCCGCCTCCGCCGTCCCCGCCACCCCCCTCTCCGCCGACTCCTTCGCCGCCGCCGCCCTCACCTCCACGACCGTCGGCGCCGCCTCCGAGGCGGCCGGCATCCAGTCCGCCACCGCCGAGCCCCCCGCGCGCGTCGCATCCTCGGCCTAGTCCGCCGCTGTCGCCGCCGCCGTTACCCGGTCGAGAAATGGCCCACGC